CAGTTTAATCAAAGAATAAAAACCGCAACATACTCAAGCTTATATCATTAAGTAGAAACTTTACTGTCTACTAGTTTCGACCTTATCGCAAGGTCTTCATCAGGACAATATTTTCAGTAAACATACCCCCTGAAGTACTCTTCGGGAGGATAACTTAGAATTATGACGTGTGTACAAAGATAGAAATAGAACGGGTAGATAACTGCCTTGAATATAATTGCTTTTAACCAGTCTTTGTTGCTAAATAAATTGTAATGTAATAACAGTGTTCATTTCTCCTAGTACTCTTTCTCGTCTAAACAGATAGTGTGGGTTGAACTGGATAAATAGGCTAGGTCTCGGTGGTTCCGACTCCCCTGCTTTCCTTCTGCTTCTGACTCCGAATCAGATGAATCACTCAGAAAAAGATCTTGTTTAAGTAAATCAACTGCCTCCTCAAGAACCGGTCTGAACCTACTGGCTGGTCCAGAGGAGGTTACGCCCGTGGCTGGTTTTACTTTAAATTTGGCTAGTTCCAACTGTTTCTTGGTCAAACTTTCTGCCGGTCTGTTCCATTTGGCTGGTGGTTTTGCCTGTTCTCTGGTGACATCTTTCATAATTTCTGGCTCTACTTTGTAGAATGGGTGCATATTACGTAAATGTTTCTCATAGTTGTCCATTCTGCCAAACGTTGTTTTGCATATTTTGCATCGATAAAACGTAGATCTATTTCCGTGTATGTTATTGACATGACGGCGTAAGTTACCCATTGTGGTGTAGCATTTTCCACAGAGTATGCACGGGATAGATGGTCTCCATGATTTCTGTGACTTTTTCTTGCTGTCTCCCATTTGGTTATGTTAGGATATTCAAGCCCCACGGTCGTTGTGTTTGTAGTGTATAAATCCAACTTTCTTCGGTTCTCAACTGTGTGTTAACGTCACTGATACCCGGTAACTGTGACGTCATCAGCATTGTGTCCGGGAGAGCTGAAATGTGCCGCGACAGGCTTGCTCTCATCACGGCGGTAGATGTCATATAGATGGTTTCTAATTCTGATGTTGATAGTGTTAGATGTTTGCCCTACATATTGAATGTTACATTTCTTGCATGTAATAAGATATATGGCGTTGATACTTTGACAGTCTATGTATTTAGTGATCTTGTGACTTCTATTGTTTGAGCTACTCTTCACGTGTTCCGTGTTACACATATATACGCAGATTCTACAGTTTTTCCCGCACGGCTTGTTCCCGGCGGGTTTTAGTTCTCTGGCTATATCACTATGAACTAAGTAATTCCTGATGGATTTCGGTTTAGTGTGTGCTACCAGTATTCTCGCTTGATCGAGAATTTTCTGGGTATCGGGGTTGTAGCGTAGTATATGTTCGTAATTCTTTATTATCTTTCCTATTGGTGGATTTTGAGGGTTGTACGTCAGTACGAATGCTATGGCCGGCTGGGTTTCGGTGTTTTGTTGCTTTTTAAAGAGACTATCCCTATTAACCTGGCTCACCCTGGCTATGGCGTTGTCAATAAGTTGTTCCGGATAGTCTCTCCTGACAAATCTATCTTTCAGCTTTATGCATTCATTCTTGAAATCTATATCATTGTCGCATATTTTCCGTACGCGCAAGGCCTGTGCATACGGTATATTGTCTCTTTGGTGTTTCGGGTGGCAACTTTTGTAGTGAAGATATTGGAAGGCATTGGTCGGTTTATTGTGTATCTTGCTGCTTAATGTCCCATCTTCTGTGGAGTAGATGGTTGTGTCTAGGAAGTCCACTGATGTGTCGCTAATTTCCGACGTGAACTTTATAGTTGGGTGATATGCGTTTAGGGCCTCTAAGAAGGAGGTCAGTTCCTCTCGGGTGTGGGGCCATATGAAAAATATGTCATCAATATATCGCCACCAGACGATTGGTGCTCTCATTAGTGTTGATAGGAATCTTTGTTCCAGATGGTCCATAAATATAATGGCATAGTTGGGAGCCATTTTTGTTCCCATTGCTGTGCCTTGGATTTGTAGGAAAAATTCCCGGTCAAATCTGAAGCAATTGTTTGTTAATATGATTGCTATCATTCGCAAAATGATCCAAGTACTGGGTGTGGGGTTGGTTCTGTTATCCAAAGCGATCTTCGCTGCCCGTATTCCATCCTGATGGGGAATGGATGTATACAGTGATGACACATCAGCTGTACACAGTAGGCTTCCTGGTGGGATGGGACCTAGTTCTTTGATTTTCCTCAAAAAATCTGTTGTGTCTTTTATATATGAGGTGGTCTGTGTAGCCAGTTGTTTTAAATGATGGTCTACAAAGGCTGATAATTTTTCTGTACAACTTCCTTCTTGTGATATAATCGGTCTTCCCGGGTTACCTGGTTTATGTATTTTTGGTAAGAGATAGAAGATAGGAGTCCTCGGATTTTTCGGGGTGAGATATTGGGTGATTTCTGGGTCTAATAGGTTGCGTTCCCTGACAAATTTGAGGAACTGGTTCACTTTCTTCACTATTTCGGGATTCTGATCTTTCTTTAATCTCCTATAGTTAGCCGGGTTGTATAATTGTCTATGGGCTTCATTTATATAATCTGTTTTGTCCATCACGACAACTGCACCCCCTTTGTCAGCGGGTTTAATGATTATTTCAACATTGTTCATAAGACTTTCTAGTGCTAATCTTTCTTGTTTGGTTAAATTATTCTTAACTTTTCTTGGTGCGACCTCAGTTTTAATCGTTTCTGTTATAATGTTTAGGAAGGTATCTAGATGGCTGTCTATGCCGGACGGTGGTGTCCATCCGGACGCCTTACGGAATGGTTGTGGTTCAGATGCTGGTTGATTTCTAAAAAAGTGTTTTAGGCGTACCCTTCTGTTGAAGATAAAGGTATCAGTTAATAATGATACTGTTTTTGGTGTATTCGGTGTTGGACAAAAATTTAAACCTTTAGATAATAGTGATTTCTCGGATGTGGTTAAAGTGTACTTTGATAGGTTTACTACTGACTTGTTGTCTGTGTAGCTGCCTTTGTTTCCTGAATTGTTTGCGCGGGATGAACTTCCGTAACTTCCATAAACAGTTTACATTTTCGACTTCTTCGCAATAACGTCAAGAGTTCTGATATTGGGAAAGCAGCATGCTGGGACGAAGGGCTACAAAGTTTGTTAAGATAATGATCCACTTTTAAGGTCAGAGGGGCCAAATGTTAGAGGTTTTGTATTCATTTACAGTTGGGATTACAAAACAGTTTGGAATTTTGTTGTCAAGGATGTTCAATGTTTTGAAAACTTCAGTGCAGGGCCTAGGAGTTGGATTTGTTCAAATTTCTGCAGTGTTCTTTAAATCCACACTTGCCACAAACATTAAATTATGATTTAATCTGTATGCTTGATATTGGATAAGGCAGTTTTGTTAAGTTTGTGCTCGTCATTTGTTAAAAAAATTAAAAATTCAACTCAGGGGACCATAAAGGCCTATGGGCCTCTTGTTATGAAAATGCCCAAAATGTATTGTGTGCAATTTTTGCCTATTTAATTTTTTTAAAATTTCATCATCTCAGAAATTGGAACGGCCTCTTTTGAAGAATGGATATAGCTTGCATAATTACATACATTGTACCAGTGTAGATTCAAACATCAACTTGAGGTCTAACTGCTAAGTCATACTAGATTTACATTCTGACTAGAATTTCTTTACTATAGAAATATACATGACTACAAAGAGTACAGGTGCATGTTGGTACATCAGCCCTGTAGATGTAGTATTCATTTGTTTACAATAAAGAGAAGAAAACATGCAAATTTTGCTATTAAGGTTTTTTTGTGATTTTGAAAGGGTTGATTTTTATGCAAAAGTAAGTAACAAAATATCCCTGATATATGTTATATATCTCTATATTTATGAAACCAATGGCATCTTTACTCAGTTATATAAGTGATGGTAACAATTACCAATCCTCAAACATAAAGAACTAACAGCATGTAGAGAAACATACAAAAAAACCCAGTCTGATTGGAATAAAAGACAATTGATCATTTCAAAACAGTGAAAATAATACATGTAATGATTTTAAAAAAACATCGGGCAAAAATGAATTCGTGTCATGAATAGAGTTGAACTTGCCCATTAAGAACAGTGTATTTCTGCACAGTTTTTCGAATAATTTCTCACTTGTGTTAACGACTTTCTGCCCAAAGTGACCTAAATTTGCTGTTACTGTAGATGGTTCAGTTCTGGTAAGCTGTATGTGTTACTAAGCCTTTATGTACTAAGGAAGGCAATGAATATCGCTGCATATTTTTTTTTTTGTATTTTCAGGCCAGAGGACTACACCATTGATCATTTTACGGAGAAAAAGAATCAAAACTAAATGAGTGTAGAGGAAAGTGAAAACTGTAGTGTGCGACGTTGGACAAATAAAACTGTGATTTCATGTATAAGGAGTGTGCTAGGTTTTGTGGAATAAAAGTATGTAAACTTGATCTCCTTGTTTTGTGTTGTGTAAGTGGAGAAAATTTAATGTTAATCATTATTTTGTACAACAGTCTCCAGTAATGTTAATCATTATTTTGTACAACAGTCTTCAGTAATGTTAATCATTATTTTGTACAACAGTCTTCAGTAATGTTAATCATTATTTTGTACAACAGTCTTCAGTAATGTTAATCATTATTTTGTACAACAGTCTTCAGTAATGTTAATCATTATTTTGATATCACATTTGACATGCCTGTCAAAATTTTGATGTGACATATTATGGTAAGGCGTCTGTCTGTACATCAATCCATCATAAATGTTTGTTTTGTGCGGAGACTTCCTTTCTCAATTTTCAACCAATCATTTTCAAACTTTTTTATGATCAGCAGGTAATTGTGTTTTCTTGGATGACAGTTTTATTCAGGATTTTTTAAAGAGTCTGGAATGGAGCCTGACAAAGTTTTTGAAAAGATATTACCTTGACCTCTGTTCAAGATTACAAATATTAAATTTGTCAAAACTTTTAAATAACATGTGATGATGAACCCATAAAGTCTAAAATCAAAATCATGTATTGTCTGGAAGGTTCCTGGGATATAACCTGACAAAATTAGTGAAAAAAAGACCTAAACCAAATCATACAGCCATAGAGGTGAAATTTGTTAAAACCTTCAAACAACTTCTCAATAACCAAAAGCCATAGAATCATGATATTTGGCTGGAAGGTTACTGGGACGAAGTCCATCAAAGTTTGTTAAGAAGTTTTTACTTTTGACTTAAATTACTGAAAATGGTCACATGTCAGATTTTTTAGGATCTTCAAACAGCTGTATCTGATTAGACAAAAGTCATAGAATTGTGATATTAGGCTGATAAAGCCTTCAAAGTTTGCGAAAAGAAATAAACTTGACCCATATTATAAGTCACAGGGGTCAAATTTATTAATGCCTTAAAATGACTTCCTATCATTGACGTGAAATATTACTTTATTTGTGAAAGGCATTGAATACAAGCTAACAATGCAGACCTGTTGGATTTCCTAGTGCTTTCTTCAATTTCCTGACTATGCGTTAGAATATCATAGTCAAAATTTCTGTGAAATGTCATGCTTTTTAGACTGTTGATATTTTATTCCAGATTACTTCAAACCAAATAATTAATTGGGCTTTATCGTGAAATGTTTTGTATATGGGAGGAATGGCGACTCCTTAGATTAGATGATGCATCAATACTATTTCACTTAGCTAAATACAATGATCCTTTGAAAACTAGAATTTGTATACAAGATAGTCGATTGTACATCAGGCATCATGATTTAAAGGTATCATGGAATGTACCGTGGTAATTGGGATTCATCTATTAAGAATCCTGGATGAAAGAAGAATGAAAGATCTTGATGGGTTTCACTGAAACTCCATATTCCAAAGTAATCAATGTTTTCTAAAAAAAAAAAAAAAACCAGCATGTTTTGATTGACATTCAATATGAATAATGTATACAATATAAATATATATAACATTTTTAGGTGACCTGAGCCAAAGGCTCATGGTAACCTATTGCCATCATGATTTGTCTGTCGTTGTGCGTCGTGAGTCGTTAACTTTTCACATATTCGACTTCTCAAGAATCATTGGATGGATTTTGACCAAACTTGGCACAAAGCATCCCCACGGGAAGCCGCTTCAAGTTTGCGAAGAAAAGGGCATGACCCCAATAGGGGCCCCAGGAGGGGGAAAAAGGGGGTAAAATTAGGTAAATCTTAAAAATCTTCTTCTCATGAACCAACAGTCAGATTAAGTTCATATTTTATATTTAGGGTCCTTATGGCAAGGTCTACAAAGTTTGCGAATGAAAAAAAAATTTGGTTAAAAACGGCCCCACTAGGGGGCGCTTAAAAGGGTAAAAAATTCAACTTTAGCCGATTTCAACCAAATTTGGTAGACAGCATCTCTTAGTGAAGGACATATGAAATTATGTTGAAAAAAGTGATTATGTCCCCTTTTTGGGTCCATAAGGGGTGTAAAAGGGGCCATATGTAAAATGACTTAAATGACTTCTTCTCAAGAACCATTGGATGGATTTTGACCAAACTTGGCACAAAGCATCCCCACGGGAAGCCGCTTCAAGTTTGCGAAGAAAAAGGGCGTGGCCCCAATAGGGGAAGCTTGATACGAATGTTCTACACAAGGTCCTGGCAAGTGTTTTAATTTTTTGGGGCGATTCAAAATCCAAGATGGCCAACCTGGCCTCTGTTTGGCTAAGACATTATAGACTTCCTCTCAAGAACCATTGGGTGGGTCATGTTCAAACTTGCTACAGATGTTTTACACGTGGTACTGCACAAGTGTTGTTACATTTTTGCAACATTTTAAAATCCCCAGATTATTGACATATATTCCTCAGGTGACCGTTAAGGCCCCTTGGGCCTCTTGTTGTTGATCATATCATCATCAAAGGGTAGCTATTCAAATCGCCCTACAACCTTGGTGGGTCAACCATCTGTTAACAGTTTTTATGATCACTATTTCTTAAAAAGCATGGATGGATCTCATTTAAATTTCATATGTAGGATTCCCTTGGTCTCTTGTTTAATTTAATTTTGGGACTGATTAGAAAAACAAATGGCCATCTTGGATTTTGACTTTGCAAGTTTGTTACCACTACTTCCTGAAAAGTGCTCAATTGATCTCTCCAAAACTTCCATGTGTATGTTTCCTTTGATCCCTAGCTGTGCCTCTTTGATTTCGGTACTGATCAGAAAAAGAAACTGGCCAAGAGGCGGCCATCTTGAATTTTGACTTTGAAATTTTGTTATCACTTTTTCCTTGCATAGAACTTTCTCAAATTTCATGTATAGGTTCCTCTTGGCCCCTAGTTGTGCCTGTTAGATTTTTGGACTGATCAGAAAAAACAAAATGGCTGACAGGCAGCCAACTTGCATTTCGCTTAGAAAATTTTGTTATCCCTATTTCTTAAGGAATACTGGATGGATCCCTCTCAAATTTCATATGTAGTTTTCTCTTTGTCCCAAGTTGTTGTGCTCTTTAATTTTAGAACAGATAAGAAAAAACAAAATGGCAAACAGGCGGCCATCTTGGATTTTGCCAAGTAAAGTTTGTTATTCCTATTTCTGGAGCACTGCAGTATAGATCTTTCTCAAATTTCACGTGTATGTCTCTTTTGATCCCTAGTTGTGTCTATTCGATTTCATTACTGATTAGACAAACAAAATGACCAACAGGCAGCCATCTTGGATTTTGACTTTGAATGTTTGTTATCGCTATTTCTGGAGAAACACTGTATAGATCTTTCTCAAATTTCATGTGGTTTTCCTTTTGTCCCTAGTTGTGTTTATTTAAGTTTTGGACTGATCAGAAAGACAAAATGGCTCGCAGGCAACCATCTTGGATTTGGGAGGTAAATATCATTATCGCTATTTCTGCAAAGGAATGTTCAAATTTCTTATCATTGAGAGCAAAAACAGAGAAGAGAAAATGAGGTAAAAGATTCAACTATCAAAGGGCAAATAAAGATCAAACAATAGTAGGCACCAAGATTCCTCTGGGATCTCTTGTTCAATTTGAGGCCTGATTTACACTTGAAATATGTGTTGTATACTCCAATATTTCTAATAAGTCTCGAAATGAAATCACTACAATGTGATCCATGGGAAATATATATCAAAACCTTCAAATATCTTATACAAGAGCAAGAGTTCAATTTAGACGTAATGATAACATGCGTGATATTCTTGCGGGGAGAGATTTGAGTATATTCAAATGAGTAACATGGACAAATTTTCAATGTGACAGAACATATCAGTAGGACAAAATCTTTCAAATTTATTTCCGCTTACCTCAATTTTATAACTGCCATATACGTAGACTTCGATTATTGTCATTTTAGTATGTTGGTATAACTGTTTTTGTCAGAATAAAATATCTTGGTCATCTCTGAATGATGACCGGTAAAACATGGTATCGCAAACGATACAAATTTCCGTATTGAGTGATGCATGAAAAAAAGAGCTATTAATTAAGCCAATAGAGTGAACGTAGTAATGGCCGTTGTGGCCTTGACCCTATAACCCCGATAGTAAACTTGTTATAAAATCACGGTCATATATATGAGTATCAAGTTTGATGATAATCCCTAGAGGCGTGAAGTTGCCAGAGTGCTGATAACAGTAACTGACCTTGACCGTACAACCCTGATATTCGAACTCGTGCGTGAAACTTTGGTCTATTATAAAATTGTCAAGTTTGATCAAAATGCCCCAGTAAATAAAGTCAGTGGGGCGTTAACACGGATTTTCTTGAAATAGTAACGACGAACTTGACCTTGACTCTAAAACACTCTGGTCATACCCAGATATCTGATATATCGTGGTATATAAGTAGATGATGCTTGGTCGAAATTCCCTTAGGAATAAAGCCGATAGGATTTTCAACAAAAAACAAAAAAGAAAAGAAAAGAAAAAGAAATGGTTATAGTGACCTTGACCCTACAACCATTCATCTCAAACTTTCCTGAAATATTATGTGGTCCTTTATAAGTGCGACACGTAAAGGTGGACAACGTTTAAATACATATAAATAAATTAGATATGTTTCTACTAGAACAATAATAATTATTTGTGAAATAAAGAAATCATGTGTCGAGGAGGAGCGAAGTTAATCTTTGGATCGAAGGGCAAAAGTAGAAGGCAAAACATTTGTAATAATTAGTATATAATAAGAGTATATTGTCATAAAAGCGATTATTTCTAAATGAAAAATCTACATACAAACTGAAGACACGTGTGACTCATAAGTTATTATTACAATGTATATTGATGAATAGTATTGTGAAATTGATGTGGCAAACAATGCTGTATGGATGTATTCTGTGAGTTGTTTTTTTTTTACGAGAAAAGAAGTTCATTTTCTGTGTACTGCCATTTCCTTTCGTAAAATTTATTTGATGTCCGTCCGTCGGTCCGTCCGTCCGTCCTTCGGAGTCACTTTTTTACTGTAATCGTCAAGGTCATATTGTTTAAGTCACACATGTCAACAATTTATAATACTGTCATCATTTAAGTGGTTTGTTCATTTCTCTTACTCAGAGCCTTTTTCCCGGAGTCCGGAAGGAAAGCTTATGGACTGGTGGTCTTATTTCCGATAATATTTTTAAACAAATCATATTTCGTGCTAAACCCATTGATTGAAACAACAGCCATTCATTCTACAGCACTTGATGTTACTACAGTCTGTATAAAGGAAGTGTAATTCATAAGTTTTACCAGTATAGTTTTTACGCAAAGAGAACAAAAAACAGAAAGTAAGAAAAAGCACATTTATTTTGTTATACAAATTTGTTCTCAAGCAAAAGTTGTTAAATCACTTCCACTTTAATATCATTTACTGTTAAAATTCACAAACGCATTAACAATACATCTAATATCCTAAAATCTACTTGCTACAAAATCAAATAGTTTTAAATATTATTTACATAATTTTGGGTGACTGGTTAGTATTTCTGTACTAAACATTATTAAACATGTATAAGCGTTTTGGATTCTAGCTGGTTCTGGTCATGAAAGGGATCATGTGACTTACACATCACGCTGAAAGACTATAATATATGAGTGACAGTAACTGTTAATTGCTATGAACATAAAAAATTTAATACTTTTTTTAAATAGTATATATACAACTTTCATATCATTAATTATTTACGAACATTTAAGCGATAAGTAAATATGACGTCAAAATCACACGAAGACGTTTCACAGATAAATTACGTTAGAAATAAACACTGACCTTATATGGTTTATATTATTTGTTAAATGGAAATCGTCAGTCAGTTTTAATTATCCATCAACTCATGGACATTTGAATTTTATAAACTTGTCATTGTTGGTTCCATTTCCATTCTCTACTTTACCTTTAATGCATTGTTTTCTGCAACATCTATTGTTTATTGCATAATGTTTAGTATCAAGTAATACCTGACCAAATCATTCAAAGAGATACATGTTACTCATATCAAGACCAAGTCGTTCATCAAAATTAAGAATCATTTTGAAAATGTAACTCAAGAACAATGGAATATACTCCGAAATTAAAATCAAACAAGAAAAACAAACGACGATGCCTACTGCTTGCTAAAATAACGGAATCATTCCATTGTCATCATTATAAATTAGAAACTTTTGTGTTACATTCGCAACAATATGGTAGTTGGAATATACTGGAGAGAGCAACGAAATTTATCTCACAATAGGTAACATATTATTTAAATAATATATAGCTATCATGTGATAAATTGCGTTGCACTGCATTTATTTTCTCAATCACCACGTACCATGAATCAATTCTGATATACCAATTGCTATTCACCAATTTTGTTCTCAATTGTCCCTAACACACGCACACACACAAAATAACATTACAACAAATCACACAATACACACACAACTGATGAAGATGTACAGACATGGATGCTGAACCTGTCTCGGGATGGACATTGTCTAAGTAAAGATGAAGAGCTTATAGAGCGTGGATGGAAACATGGTAGTCATAGAAGTATACATTTAGATGATACTCTTTGTCTAAAGGCACATTTCGAGAACTATTTTGTTCTCATCTTTTCAATGATTCACAAAGTGTCGAAGTATGACATTCCGACAAGTCACAACCTTTTGAGAAATGTCAATCCCTCCATAAAAATGCAGTCTTCCTATATGAATGCCTTTATCATATTTTACCAACTGTACCAACTATAAGAAAGTCTTGATCCGCCATTGTTTGACTGTCTCGGAGTTCCTTTCGCAACGTTACTAACTTCACAGAAAGAACATAGAGAGATCGCCAGGGCTCGATACCCTTAGGAACCTCAACAACACCCCAACCAGGAAAGCCTGTCGTGAGGAGTGAGCGTAACATCACCACCAAAGTGAGGGTTAGTAGCGGAGATAGAATGGAGGGTAAGTAAAACGTGGGTTGCACATGCATAGTGACGGAAAAACAATCATATTTAGGATACAGAAAGCAAGCATTTAGTTTCCAGCTACAAAATATTTCCTTAAATTTAACATGCAATATCGAACTAGAATGTAGAAATTCGTTTGCATGCTTAAGGAGTAGCAGGTATGTCCAGAGTATTAGAAAGCGCACCATGCCCAAGAAATAGGGAAAGAGCGCTATTGTCAATATCAGACGATTTTCCCTGAGTGTATAATTATATATCGCGCATTTTTACGAAAATTTGATCGTTGAGTAAAACTAAAGAGTGAAATTCGAGAGTCAGACATGCAATTGCAGGCATTTTTTTTTATTGCAGCTATTTCTATCTATCTTTACGTTCATATACATTTCCACGTAACCTGTGACGGTTCATGTCATGTGATCGTATTTGTGAGGTATATGTGTTTATGTGGTAGAACTTGAATGACAGATCCATTTTTAAGATTCATTTTCAAAGTATCCTACCAATCAATCGTAGAAATACCATACTGGCCTTTAAAGACGTTTTCACAGAAAACGTACAAGCTCACTTGAGCAATTAAACATCAATTCGCTGCAATATCTCTAGCAAAAATAGCATCATACAAAAAAGATAACCGAAACAGGAACAAATTAAATGCTATCACAACAAAATTGTTGAAATTTTCAAAAATTAGTTTCTTAACACAGATGGAGAATTGATATGGGTTATGAGTTTAGAGCCTGTTTAAACCATACCAGTTATTTTAAATAAAATGTCAGTTTAGAAAGTTATTTTCTAGGTTGACGTAAATTTTGTTACTTTATTGTTATTAGTTAACTGTATCTTAATAAAAGCATGTTACATCGAAACAAATTATTTCAGGCTTTCATGGCCGCCGGCATGGCGGAGCTAAGGTGTCCATTAGGGTTTTTGCGTCCATTTGCATTGAACTTTTGCGAAGCAAGGTAAATCGACGCTACTAAATCTACTTGGCATATAGAGCGTGGTATAGCGCATTCACATTCCTGGAGGATTTCTACATTCTCATATAAATGGAAAGCACACTAACAGTATGAAATCCAGACAAAAAAACAGTGCTACACAAGGCAAAACAATAACAGCAACTTCACGAAGGCAAAATAAAACCGCTATGAGCCAAAATAAAGAAAACTGTAACGGAAGTCAGGAAACGGAACTGCTTGGAGGCGAAATAAACTGATAAAGTAGTACAAGAACATCCGTCATACAGCAAATCTGATGTTCTGTTTAAAATGACACACAACGAAATGCGGAGCATGATTACACGTACATACTTGCATACATCAATGATTAATGAATATGAGGGATTTGCTAGAAAGCAGGGAAATTCCAAAGAAAAGGGGAAATGCTGAATAATGATACATATATTTTGTAGCAAAACAAAATAATAACTTCTATCAGCTATAATGAAATAATAAAAGATAAATATTATGCTTTGTTCTGGGACTATTTAAAAAGAAAGGCGTTGGCGTGAGGTATTAAGAAGAGTTGGGATGACAGGATGAAAGCGATACGGATGGTCAAGGTATTTTGATGGTAATGAAAGCTACAGGTGATATCACAAATTATCGTCACTGATTGAGATTTTCTTAAGGTCCCTTGATACCATTAGCCTGACCGAGTGTCATGTACTCCGGGCCCTGCTGTGATCCTGTGCCAGCAGCAAAGTTACAGAACTCGCAGTAGCCTGGGGGTCCTGGAGGTCCAGCGACACCTCGGCGCCCGTGCATACCAGAAACACCCGGAGGTCCTCGGTCTCCAGGTCTACCCTGAATACCCTCTCCTGTTGGACCGGGTGGACCTGAAAGGAGACAGAATAAGCTTGATGAGAACAAGGGAAAATAGAACACTTTAATCCAAATGATTACACCTAAGATATCCTTAAAATTTTCTGATGGTATTTCTGAATAAAAAATGGTAACCAGTTAAAAAAATTCTGATGAACAACGTCATAAAGAAAAGAAATGTTGTCAATGATAAGTATAAAATTATGATTCCTCTTCATTTACTAACCTGGAGGCCCAGCTTCTCCTTGACGACCTCTCTGTCCTTTCCCTGTGTTACCCCTATCTCCCTTCGGTCCTTTCTCACCAGCGGGCCCCACTGGACCCTGGGCTCCCGGAAGTCCGGACACACCAATCATTCCTCTCTCTCCAGGCATTCCTTGTGGTCCACGCTCACCTGAAAATAACGCATGACAATCAGTATTTAATCTAACATTAAAAGTTTGCACGGATTGTTTTGATTTCCGTCCCAGTAACAGTAAATGTCATACCAATATGTAGGTCATATATCCATGCTAAAACTATGTTTATAGAATCGACTCCTGGAGTAGCCGCGTTAACTTCTGATGTTCAGTTTGGAACATATGGATGTAATTCATGGAAGAACGATCTTTTTAAACTTTCCAAAAAATTTAAAACAATGATGAAACAAGATGTCAGCTAATAATTATTACATCTGGCGACCCCGATGGAAGCGAAATTCCCTTTGTGTCCGAGAAAAAACCAAGAGCTTTGGTGAAAAGCCAAAAAAATAAGATGGTGTGATTGCATGAGTAATATAAATTTATCTTGATCTTGTGTCCATTAATAATCTTGTGATCATACGTAATCCCTACCTTGGATTCCAACCCTGCCCGGAGGTCCTTGTCTACCAGGCTTGCCAACACCAGGTAAACCTGGAGGTCCTCGCAAATCTGCTGTTATCTCCTCCATATTCTCTGCAATCATACAGAATATTTTATTGACAAAAATCAGAAATAAAGGTACATGAAAACAAATGACGATATCACAAAGCATATGTAAAAGCGTTTCAAATGCGTTTACATCGTATAAATCATTAAATAATGTTTTAAAATTGACAGTTTTTCAATAGAAGGGATGTCTTATACGGCGAAAATGACACATTTTATCAAATACTTGTTTGGTTTTGGTTTCGGATTGTTGAACGTCCTATTGGCAACTATGGCCATCTAAAGACTGATGTTTGACATAAGATAATAACCCTCTGATTTTATTTATTTAAATATCTATATATTTTTCATTTGTTTCTCTTAAATCTATTTCATTTTTAAAGTTGTGTATTTTTACTGGATTAATGCTTGACTCAATTCATAATAATTCTTAATAGATAAAATCAGGATTCGGTTAAACTGATGTTTCCGTTGACACATCAAAATACAGAATGTCTTCAGAAGATAAACAAAACTTAGCAGTTCTCCTTGTAGGGTTACGTACCACGAAGAATCTGGAAGCAAATTTCTTTCACCTCGGTATCGCTAACACTTCGTCCCTGAAACAGAACATTATATAAGTTGTCAACTTTTGTACGATAACTTCATTTTCCATTCTTCATTATAGGAATATGAATTTTGAAATTAGCAAACATTACATAACGCCATATCACAATACGACACGAAGAATGTACGCATTGCACTATCAAAAGATATGTGAAAAAATAAAATATAGATCAATTGTTTATCTCACATGGCGAATTAAAATCGAAGTATATTAGTCAGGTAGATGGCTTAATTTCTGATCACGTGCGACAAAATTTATAATCAGAAATGATTAATTTCACCAAATGAACATCAAAATGAAATACTAGAAAAAGAAAACCTCCTTAGACTTATTTCTTTTACGAATAGTGTTTTCTTATCTCATGTCATAACTTCAAACAACAATTCAATTCATCGTTCAGTTTGGTTCTTTTTCCAATCTTATGAAACCTGTGTACCAATACAATTTTATATGATAATACTCGTTATCTGAGTTCAATATGCCTTAGCATGATGACGTCATAAAGTGTTTTTGTACATCTACTTACAGGTAATCCTGGAATTCCTGGCATACCAGGCTGGCCCCTGAGTCCTCGGGTGCCGGGCTGGCCGGGGGGTCCAGATAACCCGGGCACACCGGGTGCTCCTGTGGCTCCCGCTGGTCCCCGCTCACCTGGCGCCCCTCGTTCTCCTGGCTGTGGACAGTACAAGAGGTTGTTAGTTAATAAAATCAAAATTCACGTCTAATTTTCATAACCATACATGAATACTTTCTTCATGTGAATATTTTTTTTAGCTTAATACGGTCAAACTGAACTTTTACTATCTTTAAAAAAATATATATATATATATAATACATCATTAATTCGAAAGGTTCAAACGTAAATGATTAATGCTCCAAATTAGACTACAATGACAGCATTCTTATTTACATCAACACATGTAGACATTATACAATTATATTGTCTAATATCTAGCTTCGCTTGTTAATTTGTTATAGAAACGCTTTTGACAATATATTAACGATTGTCTCTTGTTTCTGTTTAAAATATCTTAAAAATGTTTAAAGATATCAATTATTATTACGAATATACTCTATAGACTAAACGAATTTCATCATTAATACTAAATGAAATTCTACAATAATAAAACGTTAAAACCTATAAAACAACACATTTCAACATACTGTAAACCTTAAAATATTTTCGCGCTATTAACATTTTTCCGTTGTTCGCGGGAACATTCAATCCTCGAAAAATTCATACATGTGGCAAGGAATATTTTAGAGATGGAAATGACATTTTGCGGAATTAATATCAGATAAAACGCAAAAATGTAAGGCTGATGTGGTAAAGCCGCGATTTTGTAACATAAGGTTTACAGTATCGACAATAGATTGATATATACTAGGTGTCTCTGACGAACATTTCACAAACAGTTCGATGATATTTCTATGGAAACCAGCACCTTAGGTAGTATCAGTTATTGAGATCATGTGCGTGAAGATTTATTGATTTTAAAGAGATCTGATGAATAGTAGTCAAGTTTTTATAACATATGTATAATGAAAAAATACTGTTATACGAATTTCACTAATATACATACATTAATGATATGACGCGCAACTGGAACACAGAGCAAACCACGGACAGGTACATACTAACCATGATGATGACGTCATCAGACAAAACAAATCATTACTTCTCATCTAATTTTCCTAATATCCATTGAATGAATAAATTTAACAAAAAAATTTGCAGAAATAATAGTCATATAGAATGAAGGAAGCAGGATATACATTTTTAGGAAACTATATTTTGAAATAATTATGAAACGTTACGTGCTAAATAATTTATATTCAAATTAACGTTTTCGCGATACTAGCTCGATATATGATATAATTCCTTTTTATTACTCTTTCTCAGTTGCAAATAAAAGCAAAAATGTGTTAAAAGAATCAGGTGGTTTTTCATTACTGGTAAAAATGAAAGTTAAATGACCTGTTTTAATACATGTGATCCAATGCAACCAAAAGCAACTCAGATAAAATGTAATTTAACAGCCGAAAGCAAATTGAGTATATTTTGAGGCAAATGAAACGCAAAGCGATGAAAGAAATTGAAATGAAATATACAAATTTAATTATTCTGCGAAAAGAAAGCAATCCAATAAATGGTATATGGGATTAATTTGACCGAGCTGAAGAAAAAAGTAATAGCAATGTCGTTATATAGTTATGTTTTATATAATGAATATTAATAAGTCAGCGTTATACGTATGGTATTCATGACTGAAACACTATTATAATGGATAAAACTTGAAGCATTCTCCGTCGCCGTGCTCTTTTTATTTAGGCCATTGCAAGAAGTCCGTTCTAATGTACGTTGAATATATTTTATTTATTATTTGAATGAAAAGTGAAAAATGATTTTTCTGGGCGTTGTAACTTTGGTACGATTATACCTGAAGTAGATAAATTAGACGTACAAATGTACAAACACACGCGATTACTATATATATGAGGAAAAACAAAGATACTTACAAGTCCTGTTGAACCGACGGGTCCTGATGGTCCCTTGAAACAGAACATAAAAAACAGATAACACTCACATCCTCGTCACGATTTATATTTCGAAAAACAGGATTTTCCGAATTCTTAAAAATGCCTAAATAATTCTAAAAAATTATTTTATTTAAGTTATTTCACAATGTCATGCTCATTTATTTGCAAATACGATGAAATGTTGAAGGCATACATGACGATGCATAATTTTATCATATTTTGTCTTTCAGAAAGCTATGTAATAAAAAGTTCTCAAGAATAATCAATATTCCTTTATTTTACTATTAAAGAATAGACATATTTAATTTTTGTAGTAAAGTAAAAGTGCAAAAGCATAGAAGGTGTTTATACATCATATGGAACACAGACCAATATAGATATGATAGGAGTTTTCAAAAACGATGAATGAAAGTACAAGAACAGAATAATAAACACAATTTATACAAAAAATTTTCTATATAAAAATGCATGCGTGAAAATTTACCTCTTGTCCTGTACATGCAATAAAGCATGGATATATTCTTTTTCACCAGAAATATATATCATTATGATTACAACGATCTTATAGATCAGATGTTAGTAACTGATTTCTACAAAAACAAACACCTATTGTTAATATCTACGTTTACCTAGTATTCTTTATTCGCTATAACTCGTGCAAAGAAAAATAAGAAGTGAAGATATGATTTTTTCTTTTCGTTGACAAATACGTGACAGAGACAGAACACATCCCTTTTTAATACTCTTTAAGCGAAATAGGGTTGATATCCTAGCAAAAGGGAGGGATGTCTCCATACCTGCTAGTTGGTCGATATACTTCGTAGGAAAATTAATTCCATTGGTATGCAACAAGATGTAAGTAAGCTGATCCTAGGATTTCTGTGATTGTCTGCTTATAATGTCATGTTAGATACACGGCTGCACATATACCAGTGCATGTTAAACAACAAGTTTACACGTTAATTGGTTTTCTCGAGAATGACAGGGCTCGATATCAATACTCATTTGTGCCAAAAGTTTCAATACGAACGGCAGTAAAACTGATTAAATTTTTTATTTATACTCTAAGAAATGCACCTTTTTAAGTGCTAGGATGTCATTTTCTGAGCAATTCCGTGCACAATGCTTAATATCTTGTTACCTGTTACGTGTCTCCGCCAAACTGTTTTGCCTAATTAGAACCCATCCCCTCCAAAAAAAAACCAGACAGGACGGGTAAGAAATAATGAAAAATAATGCAGACCAAATAGTAGATTGACATGCAAGGGAGACGACTCATGCTGTCTTAGATGTTGTGATACGAAGTGACGGAAGTGACGCGTTCAGTTGCCAGAGTAACCGGCGACGACGTGTGATAGGTGCTTACCGTGTGTCCTGGTGGTCCATGCTTACATAAACTTACCGGTGGTCCCATCTGTCCTTGGGTATCTGGATTGCTGAGTGAGGCGTAATATTGACTCTTGAATGTGGAGAAGGAAAAAAACAGCAATGTACTGAATAGCTGAATTATATTTAAACAAAACGAAACAAAGAAAGTGTTGGCTACTTCTATGTGCAACTATAACAAACGCAATGTAACAATGAGATATATTATATTGATGAGTAGAACGATAAACAACCGTTTGTAGATCCCAGTTTCCACCATGTGAGTTTGTATAATGTGAAACGTAGTCAGTAGAAACGGTTGTTACAATGATAAGCATCACCAATCTGAATACCATAAATATGTACCGCAATAAGGTTTGGATAAAAAAAAGTAAACATGAAGTGGAATTTGAACATACGTCAACGATATGATATAAATCGTTCGGTAATTTCTGAAAGGAAATACGTTATTAAAAAATTACACACTGAATTATCTTTTTTAAAAAGTCTTAACAGGCGCGGTTTTTAACAAAACAGTATGGTAAAAAATATGCATAAAACTGACTGATATACACAGTATCATCGAATGTAAAATTGGCGCAATTTAAAAATGACAGTAACGTGGCTATGACATAAAAATGTAATACTCACCAGATCTCCACTGAACACACCATCTTGTCCAGGAGGGCCAGGTGGTCCCTATAGATATAAATACGTCACACTTTAAGATTGTACGACCAATTGCATACATTGTTATATCACCAGGGGTGCATTTTCGAGGATTTCGTGGGTGCCCTAATTTCATGGATTTATACGTCCGTGAAATGATTAATAATTGCAAATACATATCATAATGATTAATAATCATATGATCGTTCTTGCTTTGAAAAATATATATACTCACTGGTTGTCCGGGCGCGCCCCTCAGTCCTTGGGGACCTGGATTGCCCATAGGTCCCATGGGTCCATCTTGTCCCTAAAATTGGATGGTAGCAGTTTTAGTATGCTCTATAAGATAGTAAATTGCACTGAAAATAATTTGTTTTTGCCCTGCTCACTTCTGATGATTGCGCTCACTATCAATCATAATCTAAAAGATATAATTTCTATCTTACTGGTGAAATATCATACACTTGCTTATTTCAATTTTTCCCGGGAAAAACACCTTTGGTGTTCCGCTGGTTTAATTCAAACGAAAACATTACATAAAATATCGTATTGTTCCCGTCTCGTTAATATTATTATTATATTATATATTAATATTATTAATTATTTTTTAGTGATTACTAGGATTGTCGGCGCAGGAATCGCAGTTGTAATATCATAATTGTAAAACATGGTACCATCATGCGGGTAAAATCTTAGTAATTAATTCGATGTAAAAGAGTCATTGGAATTTGACCAATTTCTACTGGAATCAGTAAACATCAGCAGGTTTCGGAGTTTTAACGCAACACAGAAAGTTAATTACATGTAAAGACAAACCCAGACCATATGCAGATGTGAAACCGACTACACAGAGATCTTTAAAATGATAGAACTATCATCTGGGAAAAATGTACTTTTTACAACTCTCTAACATGTTTCGCCAAATTATCCGACAAATTAACCAATTAAATGCTCTATCGCGATGAGTATTAACTACTGGACTGCTGCTTCCTATCTTTATACTCAGATCAGCATGACCTCCCTTGGCCTGGATTGCTTCCGGTGACTGATTGCAGATTAGAGTAGGGACGTTTATGTATATCACGATATATAAATTGAAACGCCTGCGAATATCGTTCTACATAATCGAATGATTTATTTCGTTTCAATGAGTAAGATTTAAGAATATGGTGTCACTGAATAGTCGGCCTCATTATTGCATGAACGAAATATAAATAATGATCTTCAGAAACGTTATTTCCACTCCACGAATGATTCATGTAAACATATCTTATACCATTTTTTATTCTTTTCATATAAAATGATAATTGAACAATTAAAATAATGAGAATTCAATTGTTTTTTATTTGTACATCAAATGTTCTCGATCTTCTATATATTTCAATTTTTAACCCTAGCATGGTGTAGTTCAAACCATTGTTTGGCTCTATTGATTCTATTTATATTGAAAGTAGAGGATGACACTGTCTTGAGAAAGCGAATAAAGAAATACTTAAAAGACGAGGATTCTAAAATGATGTCATGGGTAAAATTAATTAGACTATGACGAAAAAACCACTTGTTTGAAGAAAACAAACTTGTGGAATTTTTGCTCAGACCACATAAATGGATTTAACATGGTTAGTTAAGCTAACATTTAGCTAGTAGATAGTCTTAAGTGGGAGGGGCAGATTCTTAATCAGCGTGTGTAAGATCCTTTCTGTATTTGATATTGCACAGTCTGCACATTCCGTCATGCGCACTGGAGATCACCTATTTGCTAATTGACAGTACAGGACAATGCAGTGAAGCATCATCGAGTCTATCTTTATTGTTCGCTGTAGGAGTCGACACAACCTTTTTTGAATTCTAGCCAAAAACCATTTTACGGATAAGGACAAAGACACAGACAAGTTTTTTTAAGGTTGTGAAATCAAACAAGGATATTATTATCTCCGAGAAACTGACCCTTAGACCAAGCATCTGGACTGCAATCTTTGGCAATGAGCATTTGATCAAAGCAAGCGTGAAACAGTTCCAGATAACATAGCCTATACTTTCAAGCCTAACTTTGATAAAGATCTCGTCGGCTCTCGTGTAAGGTGCTGTTAGATAATGATACGCCAAGTTTTTGTCGATGTGAAGTTAAATAGCCTCTTCACATACTTTCACAATGCGTTCTTTTTCGGCATCCCTTTACCCGTGATTATGCGTTTTAAACGTATTGTTTTAGATATGAAGTGATATTTAGGTTTTTTATCATTTGTTTTCGACTTAATAAAAAAATATTCCTGATTATTGAAAAGTTTTTCAAACCATTGTGATTTACATAAAATTTAATCCCACTAGATCTCAAAATTGCAAGACCTTCATTGAAATTAGTCAAGTATCAGAAGTTGAAATCGACATGAAATCATTATTTCTTGTTTAAAATATTTCGTATCAGACTACGATACAACTTACTACCAATTATCTCTGTTATTTGCCCAGATAGAGTAAAGAATTTGAAGTATCCTTTCTTACTGCCAATCAAGCCTAGCGATTTGAAACAGTACTCTAAATATAGTGATCATAGGCGGAGCTCTGTTTCAAGTTGGATGCTATAATATCATGACGATGACGTTCTGTCTATCATTTTGTCATGTACAATTAAAAAAAACACGTTAAAATACCAGGTGTACTTCAGTAAGGCATTTATGATGTATCTCACGCTTTTAAGGTATCGAAAGGTATTTTCATAATAACTCACTGATAATTATAAAGCTTAATACAGACAAACTAAGCAACAAGGACTTCCCCTTCTTACCTTCTGCTTTTCCCTCATCTGAATCCTTTCCTGATTTGTCTTACATCAACATTTATCAATGGATACCAGTGCATGTTTAGAATTGTGTCATCACATGTTATCTTTAGTTATTGTATATTGTAATGTAGGGAGAAGCCCTAGTTTGTGGAAAGATCGTGTGACCCTTCCTTTTGATGAATCGTCAATGAAATTTGTTAGAATGATGTGTAACTTGTTATTGTCAGAATACACAATCTGGACACGTCTGACTTATCTCAATACCACACTAATACAGACAATTTGTGAAACTTATATTTACCCATGATTCCATCATTCAAAGATGATATTTAAGTTTCTGATCAAACATCTTTATCATTACACTTAATATGGTTATGATGAAAATGGTTGATCATTTATTTTGTTTTGCATATTTTCATATTGTTTCAAATACAATGAAATCATTTTAATTCCATCTTTGCTAAGAATATTACCATGCATATTAATTGTTGTACATCTTAATATCTTTAGTGCAACCTGTCTCATCCGACCTTTGTATATTACAACATTTGGTACAAAATACTTTTCGGAATCGTTAAGTTTCACTACATGTTTTCAAGAGTTATGACATAATATCACTAAAGTTCAAATACAGATTAAATATATAGATAATACACTTACAGGTCTGCCGTCCATGCCTGGAATTCCTGGTAGTCCCGTTGGTCCTGGTTCCCCTTGGTCACCCTGCATAAGTTCAGGTTCAAGTTCAATTTCACCAACATCATCAACATTATCAGCAATATCTTTATCGTCAATAGCTTCAATTTCTTCTACCAATTCAATTTCAGCCTCCTTAATAGCTGCTTCAGCTAACATGGCAGCTTGTTTAGCTGCAGCTTTTTTTGCAGCTCTCTCGGCCTTTTTTAATCTTCTAGCTTCCTCACGCTCTTTCTTTTTATGAAATCCATTTACATTGACAATGAGGAGTATGACAAATAAACACGTTAATACACAAGTAAACTTCATATTGAATAATTGTCTATACTAATGTCCCTCCTTCACTTTCAGTCTCCCGCGGCGCGGAATGTTTCTTGCTGCCGTCTTGGAGTACTGTGAAGCGAGCAGTGACTATTCTCCCTGTGATGGGTCCTGGAAAGGCCGGAGACTGAAATACCCCTCACCGTGACGAATCGCAACCTTCCCTGACCTACCCAGCGATTGCTATTTGCTGCTTCGAAACGAGGTAATGAGAAGTGTTATTCAGTGATACCAGTGATCAAGTATAGCGGTACTACCATTAGAAACTTAGATTCAGCATGAAGGCTTATTTTCAATGTCATTTGGCTGTGACGGGAACCACCCACAATATTTGAAAGGATTGGAGGGGCACATCGGTTAACTTAAGATAGGAATGTCTATTTCTATTGAAATTAAAGAATCATTTCTTTTGTGCGACATGTGTTTATGATACTATTGTATGAAATTCATACTCTGAAACTTCAACCTACTAAATAATTCCAAACTATGCTAGTAGGAAAAGACCTTTAAGTATCATGATGTGGTCATATTATGCAATTCACGTGTTAAAATTATATTTTGATAGTGATTATCATGAATATTGTTTATATGTGTCTTACAATATTCCAAAGTTATTAATGTAATCTAATTAATGAATTAATAACGTTATAAAAAAATCAAATCAATAGTATATTTGGATAGTATTCAATCCAATGTAAAGTGTACACAAGATGGAAAAGAACTCCATGTATGTCATCAGGCGTAATACTTATATCGTTAGAATATCAGCCCGGAAAGTATTATTATTATCGTATCTAAAACAGGATATAAAATTGATTTAGACATTTCATGGCAATAATTTATCCCTTGACACAGTCGATAGTGTAATGTGTTGAATTGATTTATTACGGAAGTTTAAAACTTTGCAAATATGAGGTTACATCTAAGCTCGAACAGAAGCCTGATTTCTAGACCTTATGACTAGCCATATGGCCTTCTTCAATAAATTAGCTGGTAATTGAAGTCGTTCCACCCGGTCTGAGTCATTTGTGTGGGAAACTCAACGCCAACATTAGGTACTATTTTCTCTTACTCTGTCCAAGCAGGTTATCGGTACAATGCTGTGTAAACTAGGTGTTAGAAGACACTTAAAAACCTTTCATCAGTGGCTATTTGCCAGTCTTAGAAATTCGGAAGATGTTTCTAAAAATCTAAAGAAAGAATGAAAACCCTTTGAATCGTTCCAATTATAGTGTTGGCAGGTTTTATTTCGTGACTATAGAGTCTGTGTTCATATTTTATAGAACTGAAGTTAAGCTTTAAAACAGACATCTGTATTGTTTCAATTTGAAACGCTTATGTTGCTGAAATGTATCATATTATATATATAATCCACAGCCGAGGTGTGTGTAACAGGATTTCAACAGAGCACATGTATTGTTAACAGACTAACAGAGAACAGGTGGGTTATTATCATCTTTATACTTAACTTAAGATAGTATGAGAAATAGACCATAGGTCAATTGGTCACTGGATAACGTACATTTCTTTCCTGTAATCCCATTTAATTTGAAAGTCTGTGTTTGAAGTTCACAAGGTCTTACAGTCTGTTGAAAGTCTTAATGTTTTGTGAAAGAGGATCAAATGAGAACTACAACTCCATGCAATACCACATACGAAGAATTAATTCTAAAAGCATTAGGACAGGCTTTGAATCTTTTGCACATACCAGCTAACAAAAAACCTTTCATTCAACCGACCTCATGATCTACCATGTTTGAAGACATCCGTTCGATATACTCCCTTCATATTTATGAGGTAAATTCTTCATAGCTAGTGCAAGTTAACATCTTTGAAAAAAATCATGACACGTTTTATCAATATAACGCAGAGGTTTTGTGTAATCAAGTTAATCATTATTTATATGATATACCTAGACATTGTAACTCAACGGACGAAGATAGAGAACTTTTATTTGTGTCTGCCGTAATAGGACCTCATATATATCTACGGCACCAAATCGGTTAGCCAAAAAAATCTACAACGGCCTAACCATCACGACACATTGTTTATGAATGGTCAAATGCATCAGATTCAGCCGGTGGTTGCATATCTAATGTTTAATTATAACTGGATATTTATAAACTAACATGTGAATATTCAGAAAGATACTACATAATAGTACGCAATCAAATTTCATTCATTATGAACTGACATTGAAGTGATATTTCACACATTACAGGCTAGATACTGTAAATTCCTTTATTTGTCATTCTATCAAATGCTACTTGCACAAAGGATTCTCATGGCAGTAATATGGTTTCTTTGTTTTTCTTTTCGCGATTTTGTTCCATCCTCGAATCAAGCAAAATTAGAATCACTCAAAACCCAATCTATACAGTATATTATAGAAGTACATACCCTGTCACCAGTGCGTCCAGGCATACCGGGAGGTCCTTCCTGTCCTTGTGGGCCCTGTAAGCACAAAGCATATGCCATTTTTATTTCATTTGAAAAGTACATTTACTCGATAAAATGCTAAGCTGTCTACTATGTTAATTTTAAATGATGATCGAAGAAGATCATAAATATTGTTTTATGAATGGAACAAAATTACTTAATTGGTAAATTTGTCAGATGAATTGTACTCGTTTGGAAAGTTTTAGAGGAAAGAACCGACATCCCAACGGATGATACGCTCAATTTATAATCTATCTTTACGTTATTCATCAATATTTGAATAGCTTTTTATCAATAAAAAGTACAATTATATACAGTGTAGCCAAATATTGATGATATTTAAATATAACCAAGCGATCGCAGAAAAGAATACCATAGCCTAAAAGTGGTACGCTATGCTAGGAGTAAAGTGAAATGTAACATAATTTAGCCTGTTTCATGAGCATGTCTGTCCATGAGATATTTCTGAATTATTACCTTATATTGTAAATTTAAGTGTACAAACATTGAGTAAAATTACCATCAACGATTTTGATGCAGTATAGCTGTGTTGTATCTTATATATTTGTATAAAACGATGCCATTCACTTGTGTGTCATTTATACAATCTTCTATTTAAAGGCAGAATGATGAATTGCGAAGTATGGTGACAATAGGAAAAGAAATGCGACTGTATAGAGCTGACATGAAAAAAGGTATGTCAATTTCTATTTATAGTAACGATGATCTAGTTGTCGACGGTAGAAGATTGAAATGCGAACTCCTACAAGAGCTGATGTTTATAAACACTTGTGTAAAATGCAGCCTGTGAAGACTTCCATATACCCTCAACAACTTGTTATCAGGGTATGACTAAAATTCATCATAAAGCTGTTTCGCCCTTCGAGAACTCAGCAGTTATCATAATGTCTGAATTTTTTTTCATATACTTTTTGTATTTCATCTCACGAGGACCATACATATAAACATCATTTCAAGAAATTTATATAACGGAATCCCTTGTAGATATTTGCAAAATCACATTACATTAAAGATTGCCAGGTGCTGGAAGTCATTTTCATCATTAATGCATAGAGAACCTTATCGTTCGAAGGCAGTTTAAAGCTTCGAATCCAAATGCCTGATGCCAAAAGTCAGGGTAAATCAGTAAAAAATATATGTACATCAGAACATTCGGGACCAGGTGTTTTATATGCACTCAAAACCAACCTACTGACCAACATGTGAATGCACGTGGAGTACCTGTCACAGATTCCAAGCCAATTATGTCATAAATTAGTTTATTTTTTTCCGCTAAAGCTCAATAAAAAGAACTTACAAATAATGACACATACAAATTCTATCCTGATATCAGAGACAATATGTGTTGGTGTAATTTTATCCACAATATACGTGATAAATTTTTACCACAAAGTCTAAAGAATAGTCATACGATAAACATCAAACAACACAATGATAAGAAATCGTGTTCACAAAGGTATGAACTATATGTGTTGGAAGTGAGATCCACCTAGATGTCTGAAAGTATGAGTGATGTGGTTACATAGTTCAAGAAAAAATGGCCCCGAGTCATGTAACTGTTTCAAACAGACACCAGCCTGGCGAAGATTATTCATCTTAATGTTACTAAAATAATTTTTATTGTTCAGTCGACACATGGGCATAGATTAATGTTTCTACTCGGTTGTTTGTAAAAGATTGTTGTTTTTTACTTCTGTTTGAAGTGTAGGCTCTCATTCCACCACAATGTGTTGCTCAGCAAATGAACTGTGACGAATAACTTATTAACCATTCTGTTAGCTTCACAGACTATAAAATCGTGTTTTCTTACCAAATAAATGCCGTTCAGGAATAAATATGAACAAGTTTGTATCGTCAATTTCAATTGTTTGGAAAGAAAAGTTCTTATAATTAATATAAAATGGAACTCAGATCAAACATTCACCATTGCAGTATAGTTAAGCTTAGTGTATACTACTATACCACTAGGTACAGACTTTGAAACTGATAACGGCTCAGGTCTCGGACACTCTATCTGTGACTTTCATTGCATGAAAAGCAAACATTGGCACTGATTCATGAAAAGGAGTCTCTACACCAGTCCTTCTTTTCATCTTTTTGATTCGCTTGTACGGCTACAAAGCCAAGAGAAGATTCTAAATTGTATAAGGCGCGAAAGGTCGCCATGGTAAAAGTGCTAACACAGCAAACATCAATTCAGACATATCTAACGAAAGATGTTGTATATGATTTAAATTTAGGAACAAAAATGATGTAGTTTAAATTTGTTTATTGGTTCGGTGTTTTGCAATCTTGCATAAGCTACCATTTTGGTTTGCTTTAATCATAGCCAAAAAGATATAAAAAAAAAAAAAACACTGAACACGTGTTGTTAATAGTATATAACGGAAAAGGTTTCCTCCAACTTAACAGTATGTTCATCAAAATATTCGAGAGGTTGTAATTATAAAAGATAAACAAAAAAAAAAAAAAAAACGAAAGTACTTTTTCTCAAATTTTAACTTGCCAATTTACAATTACCAGGAAAAATGACATATGGACGCCAATCGTATCTTTTACTGTACAGACTCAGTATCAATAACAACCGAATAAGGTAGAGATATAATAACCTCCTTCAGAATAAATGACGGAACCAAGTACAAATAAACAAATAAAGCTAGAAAAAGTTTTGCAATCAGTCTCAAATTCCAACCCAAAAAAACTTCTTAAAGCAAATATGAATTTTAAATTGACCGGCGAGGTGGAGTTTAACGAAACGAAACAGAAGGAAAAAAAGATCTTGAAGCAAATTTCCATTTCTGTTTTAAATCGACGAAAAACATTAAGATCCCATAAATTATTGTAGGAAACTTGATTCTCATGGATCTTGTTTTATAGCGGTCACAGGATTCTTCGCGGGAGAAAAAATAAAATATCAGACATAGAGAATTATTGTCAATGGTCCCTTTGTCACGAACGTCCTCTTTCTTAACTTAAAGCGATTTTCAAAGGGAAATGTGTTTTGAAGTTTCGGATCAACCTTTGTTATACTTTCTTATGGAAATGTGTTTTATCATTTCTGTTAAAGCATTGCTTGAAAAGTAGGAAAGCTGTTGATTCGACTTGGCCTAACGTGGACGGGGAAATGCATGTTTACATTTGTCTAACAGGGGATCGTAGATTAGAAACTAGTGCCGTCGTACTAGTAAATATGCAAATATGAAGCTACGGATGTTATGTTCTGAGCTAAGGGACGAAAGAAATAAAACTATTTATTGTTATTCTTTTTTATTACGTCTTCTGGAATATTGTTCTAATGCAATATCAACAAGATTGAAAAAACACATATCATAACTGTGTCTTCATTTCACGGTGCCAAATGTACTACGATATTTTGAGAAAAAAGAAAGATGGGAACTGCAAATCGCTACGAACTTCAACAATTTTATTTCACAATATTTTATGTAAGACAAACTCAGAATAAAAAAGAAAACCGGAACCAAGACTTTTGACATCGATGTTAATTCATGCTTTGAATATAAAATATCTTACAGTAGCGAGATAAAAGACAATATCGTACGTCCAACGTGCTAGAATTGTAGTGAACAATAATATTGGGACTATAACTTCGTAAAATATTATATACACGACATGTGTTATAAGCTCATGGTATGTGTAACCATTTAAGATTTACAAGCTAACTTGCTGTCTTTGGTACTACAGTATATGTCACAAATAATCCACGAGACGATTTAGAGTACATAACAGAGTAGGTAATAAAAGCCTTACATCTTTTACTTTATATTGTAATGCTAGAAGAACACTGGTCTAAAGCACACACACGTTGTGGGCTGAGAATTTTGTCATTTTGCGGTCAATTAAATCTGGACATTTCTATTTTCGTTGTACTTTCCAAATCACTTGAGAATATATATTTAGGTTAACACCCATTTCCACTGTCGATATGAAAGGGATTTACAACGTTGATAGACACACCCATCTTATGATACCAATTACATCCATAAAACAAACCTCTGATGATCAGAATACTAAATACATCACAGACGTAGGAGACTAACAATATTTCATCTGTTATTTTTTTTATGCTGTTCAATGTTTGTGGTTGACCTAAATCGATACTTTTTCTGAGAGTATGCTTCATTAGGAAATTGGATATAAATCATTCGACAAAGGCCAGTAACTCGGTGTATTGTGATGAAAACATAAACAAACGAAATGAAATTCCAAGCATTTGTCGTTGAAACGTAACATATGACACATATCCTGGACCATATGAATAAAGTTGAACAAAGGACTGTAACTCTATAAATATTGGAACGCAATGTTCGACTTCATCAATTTGTTAACTGCAGACGACATTATACCTGTCCCGTACAGCGTGACGTATTAACAGACTAAAAGGTGAATTAGGTATAAATATATAGTTCAACATCAGAAAATTATGTTTTATAAAGGAAAAAATGTTTTGAAAAAAAAACATAAAAGGAGAGAACACGAGAGAAAACGGAATTGTAAGCTTTGAAATATGATTTTATTAGAAAATGCATTTCCTCATTAAGACTATTTTTATTCATTTATTTTTTCAAATACCTTCCGCTTTCATTCTGATTCGCACATATGGTCATAACATTCCTTGGTTAAGTATCGGGGATAACACAGTTCAATAAGTCGCATATCTGGTTACAGCTGTTCTCTATGTACAATAAAATCTCTAATTCCTACTTAATCTTGTGGGTAACCCGTGATTTAAAAACATCTACCAGATCTATGTTGCATGAAGAAACTGCGGTAACTAGTTTAGAAAGGCAAGAAAAAATATCCTCATACAAAAAAACACATGTACAATTAACACCAAAAAAGAAAAGCGTTTCTAAAGGTCTAAATTCGATTTCGATGTTTGAAGTTCAGGGAGTAAATCGTGCTTAGGGTTAGATACATTCACACAGAATTTGAATTTCATTTATGCGGAAAACCAAATACCTGTCTGTTTCTCC